ATTGGAAACAACATTCCAAAGCATACCAAGGATCATCTTTGGTGGAGGAAGAGCAAAAATTTGTTTGACACCTATTTCCCAAAAAGATGACTTAAGAAAGAGATTCATTTTATTTTGCTTCAGGACTGCTTTTCCTCCAGCAGGAAGATGTTAAGGAAATGCCTTCTCCAGTGCCAAGGCATGTTCTTCTCAAATATATCTGAAAAGCCTCAAGCTGGAGAACGCCTCTCGATGCCAAAAAACTAAGCCATCCATAATTAGCAAGCCAATATTGTCTATAATTCTAATTTGATTACAGTGCAAGAATCATTATGGCTAAAAATCAGCATAAAAATATTGCTAAACTCAGAATTCTCTGAAGTCCAAAATACAGATTTACTAACAGATTTTATTTGTTGTATAATGGAACTGACCTCAATGTATTTTTTTCAACCATAATATTGTGCCAAGGATGAATTTGGCTAGGATATAACTGGTTAGAAAAAGAAAGCAAGCTACGGAGCCATAATCTTCTTGAAAAATATTCCTTTGGAAGGAGCTTGACTTCTAATTTGAAGTGCAAAGTGCACAAGCTCAGATGGTCCAATGTTTTGAAGATAGAAACAAGGAACTTTTTGTGTTTTCACCTTTTGTTTCTCACTGAGGATTACCAGATTTATCTGAATTTACCCTGCCTTCCCCACTCATAAACATTACTAAAGCTTCCTCTCTGTTTGCTATAATCTTTAAACCTTTAATAGCCTCATGCTGATTCAAAAATAGAATCTGCTGGTTCGTTTGGTGGGAACATAAACTATGAAATCATAGTTATTCTAGAAGATGGTATCAACTTTTGATACCATGAACAGAATAGTGGCTCAGTCAGAATTATATGTTAAATGCATGAAGCTGAAACAATGCTTTTTCTTCCAAACTAGGCATTTTCACAGAGCTAAGCCCAAGACATTTTATTTATTTATTTTATTTCTATCCCACCTTTATTATTTTACAAATAATTCCAAGTGGTAAACATATCCAGCACACCTTCCTATTTTCCCTACAACACCAACTCTGTGAGGTGGGCTGGACTAAGATAGAGTAACTGGCCCAAAGTCACCCAGCTGGCTTTCATCGCTGCTGCAGGTCATGAATTCACGATCTCTTGCTTTCTAGCCTGGTGCCTTTAACCACTAGATCAAACTAGCTGCAAATCTTGCTGTCCAAAGCATAGAGGCAGATAATACACCCCCCACCCAATTTTATATGCAAAAATGCATCTGCACCACAGGGTCAGTTAAATTTCATTCTAGCATTAGTAATAGGACAACATAGTTGACTAGGGATGCAGTGGCTCAGTGGATAGGACGCTGAGCTTGTTGATCGAAAGGTTGGCAGTTCAGCGGTTTGAATCCCTAGTGCTGCGTAATGGGGTGAGCTCCCGTTACTTGTCCCAGCTTCTGCCAACCTAGCAGTTCAAAAGCATGTAAAAAATGCAAGTAGAAAAATAGGGACCACCTTTGGTGGGAAGGTAACAGCGTTCTGTGCGCCTTTGGCATTTAGTCATGTCGGCCACATGACCTCAGAGGTGTCTTCAGACAGCGCTGGCTCTTTGGCTTTGAAACAGAGATGAGCACCACCCCCTAGAGTCAGGAACCACTAGCACATATGTGTGAGGGGAACCTTTACCTTTACCTTACATAGTTGACTGGGGGCACAGAGCAGGGTAACCTATTCAGGCAGAATGAGGAGAGGTATGTACCACTTCTAGCATCTTCCACCTACAGTAAGTCAGTTGCCTCACTCTGCCTAACAGTAGGGCAGGCCTGGAAGTGTATTCCTTCTTCCGTCTCCTCCTTGTGCCACTTTGCTCTTCTGTCTTTTACTTTATGGCAAATAACAGGAGAGATGCATTAGCTCTTTACTCTTAAGAAATGCTTTACGTAACTTAACACCACTGCCTTTACAACTACGTTATTCGCTCAAGAGTACATTGAAACCATGGCTTACTGTACCTCAGTGTCACAGACATTGCAAGGGACAAGCATTTCTGTTGTGACTTATACCGTTCGCATAATAATGTCATTACTCCAATGACAGAAATGACATTGTTTGTATCATCACACAAAATAGTGCAATTTGTGCAAGTTTGTTCTTCTGTGTGACATCCTTACTTAAATGATGCCAACTTCTGCAAATTGTAATCCAATATATTTGGAACAGGAGAAAGCCAGAGATTGTCTGCTCTATTACATCACCTTGTTCGGGACACTGAAATCTTTCCTGATAATCAGCTTTGATTCGTCAAGGATGGCTAAAGAAAGGTCCCATGTTTCTACAGGATGCATCTATTATGTTCCATGCAGTGCAGGGGTGGGTTCTACTTACCTTTACTACCGGTTCGCAGCATGCACTCTTCTGCGCAAGCGCAGAAGTGTTTTGCTGACGTCGGGATTGGTGGATGGAGCCTCCCGCTGGTTTTACTACCGTTCTATAGAACCGGTGCGAACCAGGGGGCAACCCACCACTGATGCAGTGCATATACAAGTAGTCCTCGACTTACAACAAAGCAACTTTAAATTGTGTAATATTTACTTTTAATTAAACACGGGCAGGACAAAGTATTAAGAATGTAGTTTCCCTCTGAGCAGACTTTTTATATAATAAGATAACTAGCTGAAGATAAATAGTTCACTATGCCTCAAAATACTTTTTGAGTTTTAAACTGTAAAAAAACAGGCACTGGACAAGACAGCCTTTTGATGTGTAAAACTAGGATATTGTCATTCCAGGGGCTGAATAAGGAAATTGTTATGAATGCCCTGGGAGAAAGTGTGCTTGGAACACAAATTTGTTCTGACGCAACTCCAGATGTTCAAATAGGTCAACTATGATTTTGTTTTGCTCATAATATCTGATTCAATGGCTTTGCTACCCACCTGATTAACTGGGGTTGGGTTTATTATGGGATGCTGGTTGCAGCTGCAGTTTCTGCCACCAAATAATTCCAAGAAATGAATCAAGAGGCTGAAAATGCCTAGCTGACAGTTCCCAACAATACAGATGTTGCGGAAAATGGAAAAATGTTTAATTAAAAGATTTTATAAGCAAGACAAAATCTTAAATGCACCAAAACCCAAGGTCCACATTTACAGAGGGTCAGTTTCAAATCCTGTATTTTTTTCAGTTAGTTTTTTACAAGACTATTGGCATCAAAATTTTAGAGCAATGGAATATTTCTCCAGATTCTGGACTTGGATGCAAAATCCATTAGCATGTTTGCAGAATTCAAACAATTCTTGGAGTTGGGGATCATCTGTTGTTAAATATTCTATATTAACCAGTCCAATATGTACAAAAATATATTAATTGTGAATTAATGCCTCATCACAGTGATGGAGCCTATCTTTACGTGCACTGGATCCCAGATTTATTTTTGGCAATTCCAGCGTCAATTGAATTGAGATGGGTGGCTATAGAAATTGAATAAATAAATATATTTCCAGCCAAAGGGATGAGGATGAAAAAGACAATTTGCTTCCCAAAATGCGGACAGCTTTCACCAATCAGAAAAAAATAGTATTGAACCTGATGCCTCGCCTAAATCTCCTCCTTTCTAAAGTGTAAATTCTAAATTTTTAATGGATTTTAAAATATGGGTATTTTAAATTGGGTATTAATTCAGCCAAATTTATTTAATTCATTTTATTCGATTTTAAATTTTGTATATCTATGTGTTTTATTTCATGGCTGTGCACCGCCCTGAGTCCTTCGGGAGTAGGGCGGTATAGAAATTCAATAAATAATAATAATAATAATAATAATAATAATAATAATAATAATAATAAAAAATGCTGAATCAAATCAGGTTGTTTCAAAGAGATATTCAGATTGAAGCGGCACTCCTCTGAAACAGACCAACTTTCAATCTGAATTCTTCGGAAGCTCGTTCAATGTCCTGATTTGAGAAGGACCTAGAAACAGGCTTCACAAGATGTTTTAAGACATTTTTTTATTTCAGTAATGGCTTGTAGCACCTCTAGAGACCTCTTTTGAACATAATGTCAGGATTCATCATGGTGGCTAAATCACGGGCTGGAGAACTTTCTTTATGAGAAGAAGTTTGAAGCTTTGGAACACTCGTGCTTAGAAAACAAGTGACTGTGGGGAAAACATTACCAAGTGTGCAAAACCTTGTACGGCGTGGAGAAAATGAACAGGGAGGGAGAAAAAAAAATGTGGACAATAAGAAAATAGAAGTTTCTCTCCATCTTGTGCCTGGTGGCACAGTGGACTAAGTGCTGTTAAAGTAGCACTTAGTTGCCAGCTGCCTGCAATTACTGCAAGTTCAGATCTCACCAGGCTCAAGGTTGACTCAGCCTTCCATCCTTCCGAGCTAGGTAAAATGAGGACCCGGATTGTGGGGGCAATAAGCTGACTTTGTATAAAAAAGAACACAGCTTAGGGGGGGCCAAAAGCCCTACTAAGCAGGTATATACAAAAGTATGAAGGCTATTGCTTAACGCATTGTAAGCCGCCCTGAGTCTCTGGAGAAGGGCGGCATATAAATCGAACTAATTAATAAATAAATAAATAAATAAATAAATAAATAAATAAATAAATAAATAAATAAATCTTTCAAAACACTACCATCCAGTAGAAGCTGATTGAAAGGAGATTTTGAACTGAAAAGAACTCCACATAACACGTGACTAAAAAAAATAGAAATTCACAAGACCAAGACATGCTGAAAGCCACTAACTTGAGTGGTTTTAAAGGCGACCTCTTTTAAAACTCATTAAAGACAGGGCAATTATTCGAGACTTCCTTCCTTCCTTCCTTCCTGCCAGCGTGGCTTTTGCAGCCAAAAAAAAGCCTCACACAAAAAGCCTGCACGGTTGACTTTGAGGAAAGAAGCCAACAAGGAGAGACGAGAAAGCTGGAAGAACCGCTTCGGGGCGAACAAAACTCCTCCTCAGAGGATCTGCCCACCGCCCTCGGCAAAGCCTTTCCTTCCACGTTTCTGTCGGAGGGCAGGATTGGGAGGAGTTTCTCCCCTGCCCCTTTAAGGCCGTGTTTCCTGTCGGAGGGCAGGCGAGGGAGCGGCGGCGGCGGCAATGAAGCCCCGGTGGCTCTGCTTCTGTCTCCTGGCGCTGGCGACATGGAGCGCCCGCCGGTCGGGCGCTTACTTCCCGGAGGAGCGCTGGGTGCCCGAATCCCCGATGCGGCCTCCGCGCGTCCTCCTGGCCCTGCTCGCTCGCAACGCGGCTCACTCGCTGCCGGCGACGCTGGGCTGCCTGGAGAGGCTCCGCTATCCCAAGGACCGCATCGCGCTCTGGTGAGTGAGCGAGTGGGCGAGTGGCTGGCTGGCTGCGCTTTGGTGGGGGAAGGAGGGTGAGAATTGGGGGGGGGGGGTGGCGGCTTCCACCCGAGCCTGGAATTCTCCCAGAGGTTGCAGATGACGTTACCTTCCACGTGTAGCCTTTCCAGCTCTCTCTTCCCTTGGATCGCGGCGATCCACTTGGGGCCAGAAAGATTTGCTCGCTGGCGAGACCCTAGATCACTAGTTTAACATCAGTAGATCCTCTAGACTTGCCTCTCTGAAGCTGGCCTCCCTCAGGAATGCACGTCCAAGGTATAACGGAGTTGGAAAGGGACCTTGTAGGACTTACAATGCAGGTCATCTAGTCCAACCCCTTTCCCCACCCAAGCAGGAGACCCTACATCGTTTCAGACCGATGGCAGTCCAGTCTCTTCTTGAAAGCTTCCAGTGATGAAGCTCCCACAACCTCTGAAGGCAACTTCTGTTCCATTGGTTGATTGTTCTCGCTGTCAGAAAATTCCTCCTTATTTCTAGGTTGAATCTCTCCTTGATCACTTTCAGTTCATTATTCCTTGGCTGGTACTAATAAAAGAGAACATTGGTAGCTCAGGGTTGATGAGCTAACAGCGATGATGTTACTTAGTTTGGGTGATGAAAAGTCTGTCAGAAAAACAAGCAAGCTCAGAGAACAATAAGGACCCCCACGTGTCTAAGGTGTGTCAGTAAAGACAGGTAGAAATGCATTTTCTTCAGAGTTTGTTGAGCGGTGAGACGGCTGATTTGAAAGGCTTAAAAATAAGCCTGCAAAACAGCAGTTCCCCTACAGCAGGGGTGTCAAACCCAAGGGGGTCAGATCAGGCCCGTGGGGTGCTTAGATCTGGCCTGCGGGGCTGCCCTGGAAACAGTGAAGGACAAAACCCTGATGTGGCCCTCAATGAAATAGCGTTTGACACCTTTGCCCTAGAGAGACACATCTAGTCTCCACGAATGGCTTTAAAGAGTAGCATGAATCTCATTCCTTCCCTTATTGTATCTCCTGTCTTTCTACCCGGTTTCCCCCAAAATAAGACATTCCCTGATAATAAGCCCAATTGGGCTTTTGAGCGCACAGCAATAAGGCCAAGTGCTTATTTCAGGGTTCAAAAAAATGTAAGACAGGGTCTTATTTTCGGGGAAATACGGTAGTCAGACCATGTCTGTCTGTTTTTCCTGTACAGGTAGTACAGGACTTACAACAGTTCATTTAATGACCATTCAAAGTTAACATCATCACTGAAAAAAGTGACTTATGACCATTTTTCAGACTTACGACCGTTGCAGCATCCCTTTGGTCATGTGATCAAAATTGGGATGCGGTTGCAGTGTCCAGCGGTGACTTTTGCAACCTTCTGACAAGCAAATTCAATGGGAAAGGCAGATTTACTTAACAACTGTTTTGCTAATTTAATTGCGGTAATTCACAACTCTAGCAAGAAAAGTCATAAAATGGGGCAAAACTCACTTAGCATCAAGGGCTTATTTGTGGTCATAAGTCGAGGACTATCTGTACATCTTTTCCTGGGACTGTATGGCTGACCTTTGCAGATGCTACATGATCTCAGAGAAGTGTTGCCAACGGATGCTACATGCCTGACTGTGTTCAAAGCGAAGTTAGGCATGCCCTCCAAACTACATCCGATGCTCAGAATCGCATAAAGCAAATCGGATATTAAATCTGACCCTCATGGAGATGGGAGGGGGAAAAAAAAGCTTCTCCTTGGCAGTTGATGTAAGTTGCAAAACTGCTCAGTGTAGGATGGTATCTCATCTTTCAAAACCTCTTTCCTTAGGGTGGCAACGGATCACAACGTGGATAACACAACTGCAGTGCTTCGGGAATGGCTCATGAACGTTCAGAGCATGTATCACTCAGTGGAGTGGCGGCCGATGGATCATCCCAGGTGAGCTCGGGGGTGGATGGCACAGGAATTGGCCTCTTAGCATGCAGGGAAGGCAAAAAGAAGATGGAGGGTGGATTTCAAAATGGAACTATGGTAGTTCTGAAGGAGAAACGGAAATAACTGCAAATGTGTTAGAGTTTCAATAGCCTTGTTGGAATGGATAACCTGCAAAAAGAGAAATGGCAACATTGCGTACATCAGTCAGATTGGGATTAGCACCTTTTTACACTCTGGGACCTGTGGACAAGGAATACAAGATTTTAAACCAGAGATTACCAGTAGCCCATCCCATCCAAAAACTATTCGGTGTAGAGCAGTGAGTGAATTGAAGAGAGTGGCCAAATTCCATGGGATTATTTGGGAAAGGCTCCTTACACTGAAGCACATCTGAATGCCAAGTAATTGCATTTTCACCACAAAAACTCATTGTAGAAATACATTAAGTGATTTAGTATGTATCTTGGTCATTTTATTTTGCACATATACCTATAATTTGTGTTCTCTTGCTTAATGTATTTTAACTGTCAAATTTGCTATTGCCAATTGTCCTAAACTATTCTTTTCATTTCTCAGATTTCAGCAGGTGTTCTTACTAGTTTTTTTAAGTGAATATGTGGCCATGAGAGCTAAAAGCATAACTTTAAAAAGTACACATAAATGTACATCTTCCGTATACATCCCAAGCCCCAAACTTCATTGTTCCTTGCAGGTTCTACCCAGATGAAGAAGGTCCCAAGGACTGGTCCAATTCACGCTATGACTATGTCATGAAGCTCCGACAAGCAGCTTTGCAGTCTGCCCGAGACATTTGGGCTGACTACATCCTGGTAAGGAAAGTTCAGAAAGGAAGCTTAGTGGCAGGACTGAGTGCATTGATCGGTTTGGATTATTGTCTTTCTGGGATCATTAACACAGGTTGTGTTGTACGCCTGGGGTTTGTATAATCCTGTATTTGATCCTCTGCTCAGCTAGGTGATTGCTGAGAGGCTCAGAGATTCCAGACTGTCCCTATTTGGCACTGGGACCTGTCCACATTTAAAATAATGCGTAAATTTTTACAGTTCATTCCGTTACATTATCTGCTTAGATTCTGCCCACTGCTTGTCAGATATTAAGCTGTAAGTAAGTACTAGGGTCATTGCATCATGCCAATAAGGTTGGGCTTGCACCACTCACTGAGCCACAAAGAATCCTAATTTGGGCTCAGCGTGTAAACCCAGCCCTTGAGTCAGATGTATATGTGTGTGGGGTGGGGTGGGGTGGGGTGTTGCGTAGCTGTTTCATTTTGTGTAAGGTCCAAAATAGTTTCTGGTGCCAGAGTGCGTTTTGTTGCTTTTTGCATGTGGGTTTTGTCAGAGGCAAAGGTTTTGTCAAGTCCTTCCTCCTGGGTCTGCTTCCCATGATGATGCTTGCCAATTTGCAGTTCTCAGTAATACGACTGTATGTGTTACACATATGCGTTCACACACTTCTTTGCTTCCACTTTAAATAGGAGCACCCTTTGATGTGACCCTAGTTAAAGAAGAGAAGACATGGCAACTGAGAAAGAGATTTGTTAGGAGCTGGGTACTCAGTCTATTGGATCTTGAATTTCTGCTTAAGTTGGGGGAAGGAACTAGTAGCCTGCAGTTATTTTGGACTTAGCTCTTATTAGCTGCAAATACTATGGCCAGCAGTAAGGGACTATAAGAATTATTATTCAAAATAATTGAAGGACTCTAGTTTTCCTAACTAATTCGAGATTTTAGCTTTGGAGTGGAATAAATATATTTGCTTGGAACAGGGTGGATATTTTTGAAATCTATCTTCTATTTTGTATTGTGTTTTACCTGTTTTCTTTAACTGGCCGGGAAGCCAAATTCATCCAGGTGTTTCTCAAGTATCACCAGGATGCTCATTTTTTTTTTTTTTTGCCATGCAGAAAAAAAAAAGAGAGTGAAGGAGATAGAAAATGCCTGAGGATGGAAGATGGGAATAAAATTTAAAACCTCCTGTCCTCTCTTTTTAATGTTCGTTAGTCATCATCCCTCTATGTTCATGGTGCTTTTTACAACTTCATTCCTTTTGCCCATTTGATGTTTTCTGAAATACCATCAAAATCATCCGAAAGAAAGCTATCAGATGTAGAGTATGACAAGTGCATGTATTGGGCGGTATTAACTTTCACAATATACGGAATTTAATATCACTCAGGGCTGAAGGCTGAATGTTTTCCCTTTGGTTTGGATATTACCTTCTGAAACTGGCTGGGCCTGACACTTCATGGTCTGTGAATGCAATTGAGGTTTCTTAGCCTGTCCATTGTGTGTTCTCCCTTCCCCTCCCCTCCCGCCTCTCATTCCTTTTCTGTGTTGTCTTTCCCAACAAGAGCAGCTGCCCTGAAATTTCAGAGTATAGGGGGAGCCAGTAGAACAGCTGGCCTTGATGGGGTCGGCTTCTTGGCTGGTCATGACTGATACTTCCGTTCTGGAATGAAGACTTGGTCTCCAGCCCAGAAATGTTGGCAGCGGATAACTTGCATAAATGGATCTTTCTCACTGAGGCTAAATACAGATTATGTTTTCTCTGCCAATGAGTGAAAAGCAGTAGTACCTACAGTAATTGTATCTGGATCTGCTGGCAGGTTTCTTTGAGGGTTTTTTTGTGTAGAACTCACACTGGCAGGTTTATTTTGATAGAACTCCCATTGTGCACATTGCGACTGAGCTTCTGGAAGCAGAACCAGGGCTCTGGTTACATTGCGTCATCCTTGATTGATTTTTCATTGTCTGAGATTTATGTACAGGCTGTGCAGGGTATCCCCTACAGCTGAACTGCAACATAATCATGTATTTCTGTTACTCCACATTTGAAGAGGGAGATCCTTCTGTGCATTTGTAACCCTTTGTTTCCATACTGCCTAATGAAAAGCTATGCATGAGGTAGCTTGGTCTGAGAAAAGTGACTGGTCCACAGGAATGTAATAGTAGTGGTAATAGCAGTAGTATCTTTATTATGGTTCAAGACCAGTTCGGCGTATGTTTAACACATGGTGACTAAGGATAGACTTCACCTGATTCTCCCTGCTCTTAGCTCAATATCTTACTTACTTAGTCTGTACTTGATCAGTTAAGATTGCATACTGACCAGTCATTACAGAAACTCGTAACCGTCAGTAGAAATCGCTGATGTCAAATTCACTTTGCTTTCTTTTTTAATGCTCCAATATGCAGTTTGTGGATGCAGACAATCTATTAACAAATCCCGACACCCTGGGCCTTTTGATAGCAGAGAACAAGACTATCGTGGCACCAATGCTGGACTCGCGAGCAGCCTATTCAAACTTCTGGTGCGGGATGACCTCACAGGTATGCAGATATAGAAGCTATGGCTGAATTCTAAGTCCTTTTTTTTTTTTTTTTGGCAGCTGAGGCCACAGCTAATGATGGCAATGTAGACCTAATCAGATTGTGTTCTCCTTTTCTCCAACAAAATACAAGGTCAAGCCAATGCTCACTGACTAGAGTTCCTTCAGTTACCTATTTGGACTCACCTGTGGCTTTCATGACTACCAGGGATTCCTCAGGATGACCCTTGGATGGAAACACAAGAGCAGCTTTGCTGGGTCCTCTTAATCCAGTATTTTGTTTCTCCTAGTGGCTAGCCAAATACCTCTGAGCTATTTCAAGCCAGACCTGGAGTTGTAGCATTCTCTTGTTGTGATTCCCCCGCATATGGTCTATGAAGGCATGCTGTCCCCAGTCTGGAGATAACAATGAATTTTCAAAGATTAATTCTCCTTGATAGATCTGCCATCCATGAATGTCCAACTCCACCAGTTCCAGTAAGTCCTAAGGACTCCGTTGCTACTCAAGAGACTAACAGCTCATCTAATAGGGAAGCAGAATTAGCAAAAGGCCCTAACAGCCCTAATGTGTTCTGAATTCTCCATGTCAGCTGCAAGCATGTAAAACACTAGACAAGGGTGTAATTTTCCATGCTAGGAGACCTTGCAGGATTGATTGTGCTGCCTCATTGCAAAGTAATTTGCGGACAATTGGTACCAGATAAACCCCACCATCCTTGCTCATATGGACCTCAGTGATGCCTCAAGGACAGTCAGCTACTCTAGAATGAAACCAGGAATCACAGCAGATTCTCCTTTTCCTGACATAGCCCTGGGTTGTGAGATGCTTAGAAATGATAGTTAACCAGATAGCTTTGGAACATTATCATCCCATAGCCTACCTTGGCCTGTGGATTCTTCCTATACTGGCAGATGTCCTGGAATACGTATTCTTAAGATTATAGTGTTAAAATATTATTTATTTACATTTATGATGAGGCTTTGCATTTCTTTTCCAGTTGCCGCTGTTACAAGAGTTGTTAAGTTGTCCTAGGCTAGGGTCCCCATTTGTTTCTTTGCAGCAAAGCTCACCTGGAATTTTTCCTTCTCCTTCTCTTAGGGCTATTATAAGCGCACCCCTGCTTACATCCCCATCCGGAAGCGGGATCGCCGTGGTTGCTTTGCTGTACCCATGGTGCACTCTACCTTCCTCATCAACCTACAGAAAGAGGCCTCGCAAAACCTTGTTTTCTACCCTCCCCACCCAGATTACACCTGGGCTTTTGATGATATCATCGTCTTTGCCTTTGCCTGCAGACAGGCTGGTGAGCAAAATGCTGCCTTTCCTTGGTCAAGAGGACACCACCAACCCTGTTGGTCAATCTACTGAACAAGCATCTCCCCTTTTTCAGGAGCTAAGCCAGAGACATTGTTTGTTAGGACAAATCATCTCTTTGATTGGGAGGGCTGCCTTACAGAGCTTTTTGCGTATGATTGTCATCCCAAGCTAAATTGGCTTCTCAGCCTCAATCTTGTCCATTTGCAACTGGTCAGTCTTCCCCAATTCTCTTGGGGTGTCTCACAACTCTCATCCTCCTTCACTTGTGGAAGGCTGTCATAGGAGAAATGGTTCAGCAGTTTGGGGCTATTCTCTCCCACTTGTAAACAGCAGGATTCTGGCAAGTGATGGCTTTAATTTGTCTTGCTTTAGGATCTAAAACCTTGCAGGTCTCCTTCTAAGAGAAAGGAAACACAGTTGCCAAAACATCTTTATGTTTTCTCAGTTACCCTTTTGGCTTTAGCTGGATGAAGGTATGCATGTGAGAGAGAGAGAGCTGTAATAGTGTGAGACCTGAGTGGCAACAGCAAGGGCAAAGAATGGATAGTGAAGAGCAGCATGGATAAACTTAATCTGCTGCCTCACTCAATTCAGCTTAGGACAACCTCTAAAAAATATCTATCAATCCAAGCTGATTGGGAATCTGCAAATGCAATTTTAAAAAAATAAATCTTAAAGACTATAATCTTCACACCTCGGTGTCAGTGGGGTTCTCTGTATGACATGCTAAAAGTCCCCAAACAAACAGATTTTCAAGCTGATTTTTCCCCCTCATGCACTTGCATGATGACCTCCTGCAGAATGGCATCTCATGTCCAGCCTTAACAGTTCTGGTTCTCTATTCAACTACCATATTTCCCTGAAAATAAGACCTAACCGGAAAATAAGACCTAATGCATCTTTTGGAGCAAAAAATATTATAAGACCTGGTCTTATTTTCGGGGAAATATGGTAGCTTCTGTATTTGGGTTTAATTGGCTACCCACCTAAATCCGAGTGAGGGTTGTTGTTTTTTTATGTGTGGTGGGAATAACTTTAAATCATTTGCCCGAGTTTATTAAATAGAGATGAAAGATGATGTTGATCAGTCCTGCCAAGGGAAAGAGCATTGGGATTTTGTATTGCCTCGTGTCATCTGCTTTTGTGCATTCACTCTTCCACCCTTCCCAATTTGTTTAGAAGTTCAGATGTACGTGTGCAACAAAGAAGAATATGGCTTTCTCCCGGTGCCACTACGATCTCACGGCACCCTGCGTGATGAAATTGAGAGCTTCATGCATGTGCAGCTGGAGGTCATGGGTGAGTGTGCTGTAAAATAGTAGTTTACCTAAAGGGGGAAATTGCAGTTAAGGAAATCAGATCCTTTATGAAGCATCACCTTTCCACAACACAAAGGTAGTTATGAAGCTTCATCTAGAGAAGAGCAAGATAGCTAGCCCTACTGTGATATCACCACTTGGTTCTTCTAGAACTAGGGGTAGAGAACAATGGCCCTTTTATGACCTGTGGACTTCAACTCCCAGAATTCTTGAGCCAGCATGGTCCACAAGTCATAAAGGGGCCATAGTTTCCCACTTCTGTTCTAGAAAATGCCACGTGGCCACGGAGCAAAGATCAAGGAATAAGAATCTGGCATTGCTGCAGTTCAGGTTTGTTGTTATTAAAGCTGAGTTGTTTATTCATGCTTATATGACCAATAAGATTTCCATTTTTCCTGTTTTGTATAATTCTACTGTTTATCAGTGGAAGAATGCAATGAGTTAGATAAGGGCTTGGCAAGCTTTTTCTGTAAAGGGCCAATTCCGTCCCTCCTCCACCTCCAGTTGGCAGATCTACAGGCCAGAGAGCATGGCAGCCATTGGACAGTCTGGATCTATCCTAGGAATGTCCTCTGTTGCCAGGGAGGCCTCTGAGACAACCCACCATCTTGGCTGTCTGAAGGAGTTGGTTGAATTTTCCTTGTGGGGATGTCTCACAGTCATTCTTTGTATGTCCTTGGCTCCACAACGGTCCTTTTATAAAATTCAACTGCCCTTAAAGGGGAATTTGCCACCACTTGAGAAAATACAGTCAATGTGGAAGAGGATCTAGCTCAAAGGACAATCACCTTTCATTGAGAACTTGTTTGTTTTGTGAACTGAAAGGATGCTTCAGTATGCCAAATATTGCCCCCCCCGCCTTTGTCTGTTTATATTGAATTCACAAAGTCTAAATACAACAGGTCACCCTATTGAGTGAGAAGCTCAGTAGATAGGGAGTCTATTCAAAGGATTTTTTCTAAAACAGGGGTCTCCAATCTTGGCAACTTTACGACTTGTGGACATAAACTCCCAGAATTCCTCAGCTAGCCAAGCTGGCTGAGGAATTCTGGGAGTTGAAGTCCACAAGTCTTAAAGTTGCCAAGATTGGAGACCCCTGTTCTAAAATATATGTACTTAGTGAGGCTACATGGAAGGTTTCAGATGTCCAAGCCTTTCTGCATATGTAACCTGGGAGACCATCAGGGAGCAAAAAATTAAGCTCTGGGATGTGGAATTTTTTTTTAAAGACTTGTTCCTTTTGGAAAACAAAACTAATAAATGGACATTCCCCTATTTGTTTATTTCGAGCATTTATGTAGCTTAATAGACTTCATTGTACAATCAGTGGAGGTTGCTTTTAATGTTCCATTGTCTCTGTATGTAAATATGTAGAGGCTTCTTTTATTATTGTGCTTATAAATAAACTGCAATATAGGTAGTTTCCAATTCACAACCATAATTGAATCCAAATTACAGAGGAAGTCATTCTAGTCATTAAATGGGCCACCATGTGACTGCACCAATTTTTGTGGCAGTCATGAAACGAATCTAATGGGTGTAAAGTGAATGCTGTGGTCGTTAAACAAATCCATTGTCCATAATAGGTGTCTTTGCCAGAAACCGGAAATAAATGCCAGTTTCTGGCCAAAACTGTGGTAAATACCAGTCATATGACTGCAGGACACGGCAAATGGCCATCAATGCAGGCCAGGTGTCCAAAATGTGATCATATGATCCCGGGAAGGGTGGCCATTGCAATTTTGAATTCAGGTCATAAATAATCTTGGGAAGATCTGTTGTAACTTCTAATGTTCACTAGGTGACCAGATGTAAGTGGGGGACTACCTGAATTAATTTTAGGTGAAAGAATTTAGCATGCAGTGAATGAATGGCATGTATTCAAACCCTTTTCTTTGAAAAGAATCAGTTTTCTTAATGCATCTTGATTGTTTTGTCCATACATCTCCACAAAGGGATGATGTTCAGTTTTATTATTGGATAGATTTTTATTCATGCAGGTTTGAATAAAACTATAACTTCACATGGTAGGAAGGCACTGAAGAGGGAGGTATGAGAAAAGCATAATGGGTGATAATAGTTTTGACTCAAGGAAGAGAAGGAAGGGAAAATTGTGCGATCTACATTATGAAAGTCTGTGCTAAAGGAGCCTGTTTTGAAATGGGAGAACCTCCAGTCTGAGGAAAGTATTTTGTCACTTGGATAATGATCTTTAAGGACAAATTCTCCATCCAGTTTGAGGTTTCCCCCTTTATGGGAGGGCAGCCTTTTTTGGTAATGTATATCTTCAAATGAAAAAGTAAGCCTTGTCATAGTCCATCGAAGTTTCTAGTCCACATTAAAAGCCTGCCTAAATTGAAGAGGCCTACGTTCAAATTTCTACTCAGTTATGAATTACACTGGAAATTACGGCCACATTTTGAGAAATGTGGACAGAATGTGAGAGAAAATGAAATACTGACATAAGGTCGAGTTAAAATAGGAATACATTTGGTTGGAAACGCACTTGTACATACTTTTTGATTAGTCCTAATAAAAAATATTATCCAATTGCAGGATTTTTTTTAATGTATCAACATAATTTTATGTTACTTGTATTTTACATTCTGTAAAATTTCACTGCTTATTTGTACATAATTTAATTCATTGTAGGCATCTAAGTTCTGTTTACAGTCCTGGCGTAAACCTAACCCTGGTAGAGTCCCAAGCTTCAAGAAGTTAAAAATTCATTTTTTGAGTAGGAAATCCATTTTTTAAAATCTCATCTGAATTTGCCTCATGGGCTGTTTGGGTTCATCGCTATTCATAGAGAAGGATTTAATTGGTCTACTTACTTTATGCCTAAAATTGGACCAAGAATCTGGGCGGAGCTGCTTCTCCTTAAAAACAAATGTCTCCTTGGAAGAGACCATGTATCTCACTGTATTGACTTTCTCTACAGTTAAGAATCCTCCCGTGGAACTTTCTCGGTATTTGTCTCTGCTTCCCAAAATCCCAGATAAGATGGGATTTGATGAGGTAAGAAATACAGAATTCTGATACGATTTATAGAAATTATAAATAAATAATTAGGACAGACAAATCAGTAGAACTTAATTTGCTTAACCTAGCTCTCCGAACCATGATATATTAAAATTATATCTGTGCATTATGTTATGTTTTTGAGCTGTGTTGCCAGATCTGAATAGGGATTTGATTCATATCTCTGTGATAGAATTGGCCAAGGATCAGGGGTCTCCAACCTTGACAACTTTAAGACTTGTGGCATTCAACTCCCAGAATTCCTCAGCCAGCAAAACTGGCTGAGAAATTCTGGGAGTTGAAGTCCACAAGTCTTAAAGTCACTAAGGTTGAAGACCCCTGCTTTAGATATTTTGGAGTTTATATAATTAGATCTCAGGTTGGGGAATATTTGTGTAAAATGCCTCTAATATAGGTCTGTCATCCTTAGGATGCAGTATGGTTAGCCTTGTTTAGTGATTGCCTTGTTTAGTGATCACTCACAGTTAAGATGAAAAATATGATCTATCTTTGTCCTTACAACCAAGATCTCTAAACAAAGAAAAGCTGAAGTAAGATCATAAGCACTGCTATGATTTAACTCAGTGACTGCTTCATTCTAATTGTGGCTGCTAGACTTGGGCAACTTGTACTAAACACATAATAATAATCATTGAACTAAAATGGGGAGGATCTCTGCATAAAAGCGACACCTGCAAATAAATTGCTACATTGGGAAGGTTTCTGGATTGGGAAGGAGAAAGCTGTGACTTTCATAGCATCCCTTACCAGTGCCAGCCAGAGCTGTTGAAAGTTGTAGGAAGCCTATTCCTGTGGAATTCCTCTACCTAATTATTACTGAATTGTTAGTTTTGCCCGGGGTGTCCTTTGCTCTGTAGTTCTCTTTATCATGTTGTCATTTTTCTTTTCCTCAGGTCTTCATGATTAACCTCAAACGTCGGACAGATCGACGGGAACGGATGTTGAAAGCCCTCTATGAGCAGGAGATTGATTGCAAGATTGTTGAAGCCGTGGATGGGAAGTGAGTGCCAACACATGAAGCCTTGCTGGAGAACACAAAGCTGCCTTAGCCGACTTTGTCCCCAGAATAGAATAGGGAGCCAAAGTTCAATCACACAGTGATTGAAGCTTCTTAGATCATTCAATGGGAGTAGGCAACCTTTAAGCAATTAGAACAAGTACTGTACTTTTCAAAGAATAAGACACACTTTTTCCCCGCTAAAAGAGGGTGGAAATGTTGGTGCATCTTATACACCGAATACAGCCATTTTTGGCCTCCCGAAACCCCGCCCCGCGTGTCCCGTTTTCACCAAAACCAGGCCTGTTTTTTGCAAAAACAGGGCCTGCAGAGGGTTTGGAAGGCCTGCAGAGTGCTCCTGGGGGCTGGGTAGGGCAAAAACGTGATGCATGGGGGGTTTGGGAGGCCAAAAACGGGCCCATTTTTCACAAAAGCGGGGGTGTTTTTGCCTTCCCCAGCCCCCAGGAGCACTTTGCAGGCCTCCCAAACCCTCTGTGCATCCTGTTTTTGCAAAAAATGGGTCCGTTTTTGGCTTCCCAAGCCCCCTATGCATTGCGTTTTTGCCCTCCCCAGCCCCCAGGAGCACTCTGCAGGCCTCCGAAACCCTCTGCAGGCCCCTTTTCATAAAAAACTGGCCTGTTTTTGGCCTCCCAACCCCCCCACACGTTACGGTTTTGCCTTCCCTGGCCCCCAGGAGCACTCTTCAGGCCTCCCAAACCCTCTGGATGCACAGAGAGTTTGGGAGGCCTGCAGAGTGCTCCTGGGGCCTGGGGAGGGCAAAAACTTTTTTTTTCTTGTTTACCTCTTCTAAATCTTGGTGCGTCTTATTCTCCGGTGCGTCTTATAGTCTAAAAATACGGTAGCTCAAATCTAGGGGAAAGATTCCCAGCTTGCTTATATTGAAAACCCTATGCTGATTCCCTCACTTTTATCTCAATCAGCAGATAGGAAGACCATCCCTTTCCTTTTTGTGGTGTAGGTGAGCCCTGTAGAAGTTTTCACCATGGAAGATGCTTTTCTGGGGTTGCTAGAAGCACTAAGTCAGTGATGGCTTCTGAGCCACAGTTCATAAAGAACAAAATGTTTGGGGCACATCTAACTTGATGAACATCAACGTCTTCTCTTTGTCTGAATTGAGAGAATCAGAAGCTTGTTGCTCCAACCCATGAGCAGATGGTGGTTGGCAAATGATCTTCAGGTGGTTAATAGCACACACGTTTTTGCATTATCCTGAATTTTGCACTGATATTCAGCTACTTGGGTGAAGAATTCTATACTGATGGGAAGCTTCTGCTCCATCTGAAGTTGAGATATGTGGACTTCTCCAACTTGACACCTTCCAAAATTCCCAGGCTGATCTAGATAAAATTGCTTTCCTGCAAATCATTACTTCTGTTTCGCCAGCAGGTGTCTGCGCCAGAGGTAGAAATTTAAACTATGCTGAGTTTGCATCCAGTTCTCAGGTAGTGCCTCTCCTCACAATTACGCCTTTTCTCTTCTTTTTATTCTCTTTGGTTCAGGGCAATGAATAACAGCCAAGTGAATGCCATGGGCATCAAGATGTTGCCGGGTTACAAGGACCCATACCATGGACGTCCACTCACAAAGGGAGAATTGGGTTGCTTCCTCAGCCACTATAAAATTTGGAAAGAGGTAACCAGTGTTTATGTTGCAAAGTAAAAGCCAGAAACCATTATCTTTTTTTTTTAAAGATGGATTTGGTATGTTGTGTATCTCCAGACAGACACATAGGTATGCAGTGAGAACTATGAGGCCTTGGGATAGCTCTATATCCAATTCCCCCCAAATCTCCATTGTTCATTTAAAAAACTGTCTGTGACTTGATGATTAAGTCACTGCCACTATGTAGCAATGCTTGCTGAGTACTTAAAAAGAAACCTTAGAATAAGAGTCTTGTGTAGGATTCCACCAGAGTTTGGGGAATCGGAGCCAGGCATCGTTCCATTGCCTAGCAAAGCAAAAGAAATTATACAGAATAAATGATGCAAAAACAATTTGCAGAATTCCACCCTTTGCATTGTGGAGTGAGGATTAGGATTTCAATGAATGGGTTTAATTAGATGAAATATTTGTTATAGTCATAAACCAGCCTAAAAGGGGATGAATTTTTTTTTTTAAATTTGATTTATATGCTGCCCTTCTCCGGAGACTCAGGGCGGCTTACAGTGCGTTAAGCAATAGCCTTCATACTTTTGTATATTTTTTTATACAAAGTCAGCTTATTGCCCCCACAAACTGGGTCCTCAGTTTACCTACCTTAGAAAGGATGGAAGGCTGAGTCAACCTTGAGCCTGGCAAGATTCGAACTTACTTTAATTGCAGACAGCTGGTGTTAAATTACAGGGCCTTGTCTGCAGAGCTATCTCTGCAGACAAGGAAGAGATATTCAGAGCTCTGAATTTGAGCTATTGAATATCTTTGATCTAGGATGTTCTGGTTGTCTTCTACATAAATTGTGTCAACTATTTCAGGGAGCAGAGAGGCAGGGAAGCTAACAGAAGAAGAAGAAGCTGTTTCAGGCTCAGGCTTGTAAGCACTGAAAAGAACCTTTGCAGATGGTGTACTCTCACTGCTGGGGTGTTGGCTCTTTTTGGCAGAAAAGCCAAACTGTGGTTGGGATTTCTCGCTGTCTGCCAAAATAGCAAGAAGAATACATGAAGACTCAGGAACTAATTCACTGGATCTGAATCTTATTGCTTCTCTTGGTTTGGGCTGCCATCTATTGGCCAGCTCAAGTTATTCCATCAGTGACAAATAGAAGTCCCCATGTTTTTAACTGCAAGATGCATGAATGTAGTGAGCAAGGGTACCCTAATCTTCCCTATTCTGAATGGCCCCCAATTTTCATTGTATCCAAATTCCAGTGTATGAATTTTCAGCTTATCCATTTATAAATAAATAAGCTACCTAGGAGCCCCTTGTAGGGGATATGGGCAGCATAAAAATTTAATGAATAAATAAAATAAAATTAGTTGGTATGCTGCTTTGTAACTTTAGATAGTAGCTCTAGGAATTAAGAGAAATGTAATTTTGCCTACCTGGAGGATACTTGATTACGGACCCCTGATTTATTTATTTATGTATTTATTAAATTTGTATGCTTCCCTCTTCACTTTCCAAACTGGGCAGCTTACAATACGATAAAAACATAAATATAAAAAAGAATTACAATTACTTTTATTGGTTAAATAAATATTTAAAACTAAGGGCACAGATAGTGCGAAGGTGGCATCTTCTCTGTTACTGCACCACACCAATAACTTTCAGCATTGAGTGCCCTCATCAGGGCCCCAAGCCAATGGCAGAGCCTAGTTTTAAGGCCTTTCAGAAGGTCAAATGGGTGGGGGAGGATCGTGACAGAAAAAGCTCTTCTGAACCAAAATTTCTTGACAGACAGGGTCTGCAGAAGACCTTTGGTGTCAGAACGAGGTGAGACAAGCCCATTTATTGAACTGAATTGGGAAATAAAGGGAGAGGGGGGAGAAGCAGCTGAATGGTTTAAACCTGCTGAGAAAGCCAAGATAAGAATGTTTCTGTTATGTACATTGAATCCTCAGAAAAGGAGCTAAGCATCATTCTGTTGCTTTGACAGGTTGTTGAGAGAGGCCTGGAGAAGTCTATGGTGTTTGAGGACGACCTACGCTTTGAGATCTTCTTCAAACGGCGCATGATGAACCTCATGTTTGACTTAGAGGAAGAGGGCCTGGACTGGGATTTAATGTGAGTGCAAAACATGCTGAGATTGCTGCTGGCTAGGAAATCTTGGCAGTAGGACCCTTTTCCTCCCCGCAGAACATAATTTCTTTTTCTCCTTGCTTGTGCAAATATACAACCTCATCTGTTAGATCATTGGGGGGGGATGAATGAGTGAACTGGTGACCTTATGGATGCAGGTGGCTGAACTTGAGTATGATTAAAATAGGCACCTTAAATGTTAAAATCAACCGTAGTGGGGACAAAGCAATGCACTTTTTCTAAGAAGGTTCCCGCTGAAATTTGGAATTAAAGCCTAAACTCATTGAGGGCAGTTTCAGTCACACATGGGAACAGCAAGAATCCTAATATGGGGTTGTACAAGTTGAATTTCAGAGCCCCTTTGTAGACTGCAGCCCAAAACACATGAATTGGAATTGTACCAAAATAAGGTTGTTGACAACCAGTTTTCTGACATTTTGCTTACAGAGTAGCACCATACATGATGATTACACTGTCATTACAACAGTCAAATAGCAATAAAAAGTAGAAACAATTTTATTGTGAAAAATTAACAGAATAAAGTGTAAGATGCAATGATATTAATGAAAATTTGAATGAAACCATATTAATTTCAAACCTAATAATTACCTTAAGGGAAAGGAGAGTCTGGCAGTTAAGGTCTAAACAGACTAAATGTCTATGGAGATTCTCAGTCATCCAGGTCATGGTTGTCCCAAAGGTGCTTTTTCAAGAGGCAGCTGGACTTTCTGGTAGACAGTCCAGTTGCCTTTTGAAAAAGCACCTTTGGTTCTAAACAGACTGCTCCTTTTTCCTGATGCGTTATCAGGAAATCCTAAATCCACTGTTGTATTTATCAACAATCAAGACAATGTCCAATAGGAACTTTTCAGTTGTTGGCGACATCTACTTATCCTTTTAAAGCCAACAACTTCATGTACGCTATGCCTACTCTTCTTGAGTTTTTGCTCTCTATCCCCCTCTAGCTACATTGGTCGGAAGCGCATGCAGGTAGAGCATCCAGAGAAAGCTGTGCCCCACATCCGCAATCTGGTGGAAGCTGACTACTCCTACTGGACCCTGGGCTATGTCATCTCCCTCCAAGGGGCCAAGAAACTGCTGGATGCTGAGCCCCTCTCCAAAATGTTACCAGTGGATGAGTTTCTTCCAGTCATGTTTAACAAACACCCTGTGTAAGACTTGCCTTTTTGTCAAAAAACAAAACAGGGACTTTATGGAAGTTTGCATAAGTTTTGTATTTCTTACAATGGAACTAGAAGATATCCTCCTATGACTTCCATCTGGTAGGACAGGATGAGCAGTGCAATCAGCATTCCTTGCCCTATTTGTGCAGCCCCCATAATCTCCTAGGATTGTACTGAGATTTGGCTGCATAAAAGCCATTGTCAATAGCAGTTTTGGCTCTTTAGAAACAGACCGGATGATTTGATTCGGTCCCTATCACTGCTTGCTCTGCCTGCTTTAGGAGAGGAAGCTCCTAAATACAGTAGTGGCCAAAATTGTGGAAACCTTTTGGGAAAAGTGTATTTTCTAAAATTAGGTAATAGTTTTAGTACCACCATAGTACCATAAAATTATATATCAATGGACAGATAATTTAATCAAGAATGTAATGCAATAACTTTTATGAAGGATTTGCTATTAGAATAGCAGTTACAATATAAAGAAGAAAAGTGAAAAAATGAGGTATACAAAAATTATCACCATGTCAGTTAATACTTAGTTGGGTAACCTTTAGCATGAATTAAGGCCTTACAACATCTTCCCATGAAGTGAACCAAGTCTTTTAGTTCTGCAGCTGTTATAATGTGAAACCAAGATTGAATGATTGCTTCTATTAACTGGGTTTTATTGCTGGGTCGCTTCTGGCTAACAAGTTTCTTTAGTTGGCTCCATAGATTTTCAATTGGGTTAAGGTCTGAGCTATTCCCAGGCCATTCCAGCAGTGGAATATGATTATTTTGAAACTCTCAAAAAAAGTGGTGTTATTAGCCACAAAACCTCAAAAATACACTTTTCCCAAAAGGTTTCCACAATTTTGGCCACTGCTGTAGAAATGGCTGTCCATTCCAGTTAGAAAATGCAGATTCTCCTCATTATTGTAAGGAATTTATAGCCCCAAAAGTTGAATTGGTTATATGGTGTGTGTGTGTGTGTGTGTGTGGTAGATTACTGTGTTGTTTGAGAATGGACATGTAGAATATCATATATATTGATTCATTTTTTTTTCTGTCCTGACTCCTGGTGACTGCCTGACCAAATCCCTGCGGGGATTTTGGCAAGATTTCAGAAGTGGTTAGCCATAGCCTCCTTCCCAGGGCTGAGACAAAGCGACTAGCCCAAGATTACCCAGCTGACTTTGGGTCTAAGATAGGACTACAATTCATATTCTTCTACCCTGGTACCTTAAATAGTGCACCATACTGGCTCTCAGGTTTTTATCGGATGGCTTTTAAATATAAAGTTTTGCTCTCCCTCCTGACGTTTGTCTTTTGGAAAAATCCTGATTTTTCTAGAGCATAGGGTGTCCTAATTACTAAGTAATTTCAGAGCAAAGCTGAACCAAACTTTCCATGCACCAAGTAGAGTACTTTAAATGTTGGTGAGAAATTCCTAAAGGAGTAAACATTATCTCTCTGGATCTGTAGACCAGTGATACGATTCAAATTTTTTTACTACCGGTTCTGTGGCCGTGGCTTGGTGGGTGTGATGTGGCTTGGTGGGCGTAGCAGGAGAAGGATACTTTAAAATCTCCGTTCCCTCCCGACTGCAGGGGAAGGTTACTGCAAAATCCCTATTCCCTCCCGATCAGCTGAAACCCGGGAGGCAGAGAATAGATGGGGGTGGGCCCAGTCAGAGGTGGTATTTACCGGTTCTCCGAACTACTCAAAATTTCTGCTACTGGTTCTCCAGAACTGGTCAGAACCTGCTGAAACCCACTTCTGGGAGGGACGAATTGAATCTTCAAGGTATACATTGATATTCATCCCCTTCAGTTTATGAAATATCTTTCTGACTGATTTGACATATAAATTAGACAGAAAGGTGATTGATATGTGATAATTCTACACAAAAAGGAGAGGGGTAATACTGTCCTTGTAATTTGAAATGAATATGGGCTGTGACTCATGTCAGCCGCTCTGTCCCTCCAGCCAATCCCCACCCCCACCCCAAATACCTTGTTTATTTTGTAGTTTTCTACACTTGCTTCTTAACTCACTCTTGTAGCAATCCCAAATCCACGGAAAAGATTTTTCAGACCTGACTTTCATTTCCTATTCAACAGAACTGAATACATGGAACATTTTGACAACCGGAATTTGCTGGCCTTCTCCGTGGAGCCCCTGCTGGTTTATCCAACACACTATACAGGGGATGATGGCTACGTCAGCGACACAGAGACCTCCGTGGTGTGGAACAATGAGAATGTCAAAACAGACTGGGACCGGGCCAAGTCCCAGAAAATGAAGGAGCAGCAGGAGTTGAGGAATGAAGCCAGGAATTCAGACGTGCTCCAGTCCTCACTTGACAGGACAGCCCGGGATGAGCTATGACCTCGCGTGGATGCCTGAGGAAGGGGGACCAGGAGAGAGACAGCTCAAGGGGAAGCTTTTCTCTTCGTCTCAGGGTTGATGGGTTGATTCTCTCAGATGTCAACGATGGGGTGCATCATACCTCCTGGCAGTGCCTATGGAAAGCCTCAGTCCTTTACAACCTGAGGAACCCTATATGGAAATGGTGCCATCTTCTTAGTTCTACCATCTCCTGCTCTCCTGTTCTGTGTGCAAATGTGGGGCAGAGGCAGTCCGGCAATACTCATTTGAGAAGTTTTATTCTCTAAATAATAGGCCTTTTACCTGGATTCTCTGTGTTGGGAGAGGGATATGTTGACCAGATGCAGCTCAGCTTAAGCAGGTTTCGATGCCATGATGCTCCATGTCAGACAAAACCATTTCACTGGGTTTAAGGCAGTATGAATATTTCAGTTAATTTTATATAAACGTTCTTCCAAAGACAGTTTCATATCTCTTTCCGGAAGAATCTTGATTTTTTTTCTCTCCTGGTTCCTTGGGTTATGTTGAAGTCTCAAGTGTGGGCTACCAAAAGTCAGGCCTTATTAGTCAACCACAGTATGTTTTATTCCGTTTTTTTCCCTCAGAGAAAATGTTACTATACTTAGGAACATTCAAAGGTCATGAATCAAATAAGTAAGTGTTTAGAAGAGAATGGTAACCAACTCAAATATTTAATGTAATTTATGTTGTAAATTGTCTATGGGAGGGGTGTCAAACCCCCGGCCTGCGGGCCAGATGCGTCACGTGCTGGCCACACACACATCCAGTTTAGGGAAGGGGGGAAAGGTCATGATACATCATGTGATGCTGCCGTGACGACGTCAGTTTGATACCCCTGGTCTATGGGGTCTGACTTTTGGTACAGTTTATTAAAAATTCCCTTCTCAGCCCTATGGGTGGTACGTATCTTCCTCAATCCGGAGTCTTCTACCTGAGACCTGGGAGTTTGAGAGTTCTACGTAGTGTCTTAGCTGTTCCTAGCACTGCACTCTTCTGGACAGAAAGATCTGATGTTGCTCTTGGGATTTGTTGGAGCCGTTCTCCAAGCTTAGGAGTCACAAATGTCTACCACTACTGGGACCACTTTGGTCTTACTTTCCATATCCTCTATAGTTCCTCCTTCAGGCCCTGGTACTTCTCCAGTTTCTCCTTCTTCCTGTTGCTGTCACTTGGCACTGCTGCATCTGTCACCACCGCTGCCTTCTGGCCCTTGTCTACTACCATGATGTCTGATTGATTGGCTAGTACCTGCCTGCCTGTCTGAACGTAGAAGTCCCACAGGATCCAGAATTGATGGAAAGCTGTCTCTCTCTCTATGGCAGTTTGGCTGTTCCTTTACCATGTGGGATAAAGCAAGGTACAATTTTGATGTTCCCACCATGGACTGAGCTTCTGGTGATGGTACAGATGCCCCAGCATGTGCAGGTGTGATTGCTTTATTTAGCAAGCCTCACCCAGGTTTTGGTGGTACGGGATGTGGCTCTTCCTATAACAATATTTTTGTCACAAGGTTGGTCAGTGTTGTGTGACGGACAGCCCACAATGCAGATGATATAGCTCAGAGGCCTCTGAGAGAAATCTCCTCAGACATGGCATTCACATGCAGGTGAGTGCTGCAGTTCACATAAAGCTTTTTCTTTCCAGTTTTTCTCGCCTCTGTATTCTGTACATGATATGTCAAGCCTCTGGCCCCAAATTTCTGAACATCCTACTTACTCATAAGATACGCATGCATGTACTTGCGCGCGTGCGCGCACACACACACACACATTAAGTGCCTCATTGCTTCTTGCTATTTATGTCTGAGAGGAAATTCTCACTCAAACTTGTAGTCCTCTAGTTATGTCTCACTTGGTCCCCTTTGTGATATGAAGAATTTAATGACATACCCATCTTTTCCTGCCTCTATTTTCTAAGCGAAGTATTCTTTAGCACATATGCTGGTACAGCAATGAATGATGCATGGGTCTAATATACATATTTGGAGTAGCCTTTGATTACATTTGTTTTGATACTTGTAGTTACGTTAATAGAATTGGATGCCACAGAATTTATTAAAAAAAAACAACTTACGAGTGATGGTAATAATTATAGTAAATTTTCAACAGTGCTTTGTAATGGGGAAGGGGGAAGGCCTACATCATCAGCAGAAGTGGAGAATTATAATATGCAGGGGGACAGACGTCGACCCCGAGGCGCCTCGTTTGTGGAGTGCCGCAAGGGTCGGTCCTCTCACCCCTTCTGTTCAACATTTATGTGAAGCCGCGGGGCGAGATCATCCGTGGCTTTGGGGTGGAGTTCCATCAGTACGCTGATGATACGCAGCTGTACCTCTCCACCCCAGGCCATCCCAACGATGCCCTTGAAGTGATGTCCTGGTGCCAGGAGGCCGTGCGGATCTGGATGGGGAATAACAGGCTTCGACTCAACCCTTCCAAGACCGAGTGTCTGTGGCTTCCGGCGTCACGATATAGCCAGCTGGCGCCAACGCTGGCTATTGGGGGCGAATCATTGGCCCCCACGGAGAGGGCTCGCAACTTGGGCGTCCTCCTGGATACATGGCTGTCTTTGGAAGAGCATATGATGGCCGTGGCCAGGGGGGCTTTTCATCAGGTCCGCCTGATTCGCCAGTTGCGGCCCTTTCTGGATCGGGACTCCTTACGCACAGTCACTCAGGTGCTCGTCACTTCCCACCTGGACTACTGCAATGCTCTCTACATGGGGCTCCCCTTGAGGAGCACCCGGAGGCTCCAACTGATGCAGAATGTGGCCGCGTGGGGGATTATGGGAGCAAGAGGGCGCTCCCATGTGATGCCTCTCCTGTGCGAGCTGCATTGGCTTCCAGTGGTCTTCCGGATGCGCTTCAAGGTGTTGGTCACCACCTTTAAAGCGCACCATGGCATCGGACCTGGGTATTTGCGAGACCGCCTTCTGCCACCAATTGCCTCCCACCAACCAGTACGCTCCCACAGAGAGGGACTCCTCAGGGTGCCGTTGGCCAGGCAGTGTCGGCTGGCGACCCCCAGGGGGAGGGCCTTCTCTGTGGCAGCACCTGCCCTCTGGAACGATTTGCCCCCGGAGATACGAAGGATACCAGATCTCTGGGCCTTTCGCCGTACCCTAAAAACTTTTCTATCAAGCAGGGCTGGCGTGAACCCCCCTCCCTTTTAGCTCTTTTTAGCTTTTTAAGTGTAAATTGGGTTTTAATTGGATTGTTTTAAATTGTGGGCCAAAGCTGTATAATTCTTTTAATTGATTTTAAATTTTGTATTAGTATGTTTTTATCCTTGGCTGTGCACCACCCTGAGTCCAATAGGAGAAGGGCGGTATATAAATTGAATAAATAATAATAATAATAATAATAACAGCATAAGGACTGCTGGGGATTATGTTTCAATGATCGATGGAGGATCACAGCACCTGCCTGCGCTGTTTGGAAAAACATCAGAGAAGCTATTTAGGAGAAAAGTAAGAGGGATGGAATACAAAAACATCTAATGTTGTATCATTCTTTGACTAATTTAGGATGGCGGTTATGTCCTTTGACCTCACATTTCTTTGTGCAGATAAACCAAAAGCTAGAACTAGTCCAGAAATTTGATATCTCTGAAGACTGGTATGAAGGAGAACAAGCACCCAAGTGTTCTTTGATATTGCATCAGCAGGACTTTCTGCGTCAGCTTGCATAGACCATTAATTTGAAGAAGAAATAACATGCAGAGCTCTCACAATTTTCACAGAATTTTGGATAAATCAGTGAGCTGCCTATTCAACAAATGCAGCTGACTTAGAATGAGATGACACGACTGGGCAAAGAGATAGTTTTCTAGATGCAAGACCAACGTTGCTTTAAAGTATTCAACTTTGGGTCATATCTCCTCTGCATTCCCTTGAGTGTTCTGTGGAACTATTGGGACTTCCATCCATGTCTCTTCTTTTTCAAAGGAAATGGGTGTTTAGTTTCTCTTTCCTGTGGTAGTTGAAGCCGATTGACAGTTTTTAATATTTAAAAGATGCTAAAGGCCTGGAAATGGACGCAGTCATTCTCTCCAGCTTTTATAATGACATCTATAGAATAATGCTCTCATGAAGGTTGACTCATGTTAGAAAGAAATACATTTCTTTGAACGTGAAAATGATTTGCAAGTTCTAAAACACCCATATATTCTGCCATTGTTCTCTTTTTTAGAGCAATCAATACACTAAAATAATCTGGCATTCATATGACAATATGTGCCTTTTTTATCTGTATAGGTGATCGGATTTTCCTGATTCTTGTAGTGCTATACGGATTATAGCAATCATGATTTTCTTGAGCCTCTAATACCTTCCCCTTGTGCTGGATGGTACAATTTTAGCTATATCCCTAAGAGATTTTAATTGGATTTGTCAAAAAAGCAAGTTCCCGGAAAAAAACCACACCAAGCAGATAATAACTCAATGTAAGGGGTATTAACTAGAACCAACTTTTGGTATCTCAATGATGTTAGCAAGAAATTAAAGGTTTTCCCCTTGTAGTGGATTAATTTGGATTGAGAATGAATGAATGAATGAATGAGTCCCTTACTCTATACTCTGCATAACTACATTCCCACTCATGCTAGTAATACTGTTATTAAATTTGCAGATGATAAAACAGTGGTGGGACTCATCTCCAAGGGGAGATGAGTCTGCCTATAAAGATGAGGTGGACCGGTTGCCTTTGTGGTGTGGAGACAATAACATGGTCCTTAACACCAATAAGACCAAGGAGTTTTATAGTGGACTATAGAAGGAATAGATCAGATTCTGTTTCTCCACTCAGTCTCCATTGCTTATCAATGGAGACTGAGTGGAGCAAGTGGCCAGTTTTAAGTTTCTGGGTGTTATCATAAAAGAGGACCTGACCTGGGGCACTCACATTGCAGCACTGGTCAAAAGGGCCCAGCAGAGATTATACTACCTGAGTCTTCTCAGGAAACAACAACTGAATGAAAAACTGCTGGTGACCTTCTACCGCTGCACCATAGAAAGTATTTCTATTCGAAATAAAATAAAATAAATTTCAACTTACTGCACCTGTGTATGGTTTGCCAATTGCATAGTGGCAGATAGGACAGCACTCCAGAGGGTAACATCATTGCCCAGAGGATCACTGGTTGCCCTCTCCCCTCTTTGGAAGAGCTTTATAGCTCCCGCTGCCTTAAGAAAGTTCAAAACATTCTTAAAGATCCATCTCCTCCTGGGCACCCTTTTTTGAACTATTACCATCTGGCAGACGGTACAGGATGATAAAAACAAGGATAAATAGGCTGAAAACCAGCTTCTATCCCAGGGCAGTAACTATATTGAATTCTACTGTATAGTGCAATATTAATGCAATATCGGGTTTTCAATTCAATTGTATAGAATGTGAAGGATGTGTGTTTGTGTTTTATTTTTATAGTTATAATGTACACTGAAGATGGCATTCAATTTCGTTGTATGAGGTGCAATGACAATAAAGTAAACTTGAATGAATGAATGAATGAATGAATGAATGAATGAATGAATGAATGAATGAATATCTAGTATATTTTCACAAACGGGCACCTACCAGCTATATCAAGACTCCAATTGCCAGGAGTCCCAGCTATTATTGGTCATGCTGGCTGAGAATTCAGAATTTGCAGTCCCAATAAATCTGGTCCATAGTAGGTTTAGGGAAGGTTGATTTAATTGTTACATTCCATCTATCATTCCAGTGCCTTCCCCTTTGAACATTTTCAAATTGAGCTGCTTTGCTTGTTAGTCATATAATCCCTTTCTTGCAGGAGGTCAAGATAGCAAACTTGAAGCAAGTGTTTTCCCACAACTATCGCCCTGTGAAGTTGGTTAGGGTAAGACAGTAACTGACCTAAAGTCACACAGTGAGTTTCCATGACTCGGGGTGGGGATGGAAACTTTAACAAGTTTCCAAGATGTCAGCCCAGCACCAAAACCCCTATACCACGCTGGTACATTCAGATTCACATTAATCTGAAGTTCTTTTTAAATCAGAAATTGAGTGATAGTGGATGTTCTTCTTTCCACTAATTCTTTTAATATAGCAATATAGGGATATGCGAAGTAAGATCCATTTTGGATTTCATTACCCACCATCAAAGCACAGTAACAATGCCTGGCACAAGTTGAGTGTGTATCTACAATAGAAACAGACTCCTACTCCCATCAGTATTATGTCCAAAGGTTAGAAAGTATTGGAATTGTGGTTCAGCATCTAAGCACCTATTATGTGGTTATGAATTATGTGCTTATGAACTCCTGGTGAAGGCAGTTATTTGTACTGAAACTGAACAAAGCAATAAAGAAAGAACTACTAGGACAAATAAACCCCAAGAGGTCTGTATCCAAACTGAGCAAAGCAGTGAAGAAATACCAGAAAAAGTGAACCCAAAGAGCAAGACCATTGGCAGCATGTCACTTGTAGGACAAAAAAAATCTGGAAGACAGTCCCCACAACCGCTGGAGCTGAACAATAATTTTCATAACCACCACCTAGAGAAAAACATGCAAACATTGGGAGAAGGATCTCCTTCCAGTAGCTTAGACTTCTCCAAAGAAAAAAAAGTATGTATTGGTGATAGGTTCCCCCACTTCTGAGAGGAACAGAACCAGAAATCTATAAACTAGATAATCTAGGGAAGTAAAAGAAGTAAGTTACCTGCCTGGAGCAAAGATAAAAAATGCACCAGAGAGTCTTGCCAAAATAATCAAGCCCACTGATTATTACCCCTTTCTCCTCTTTCATGATGGGATGAACAATAGAACAATGAGTTTGGAAATACTATCTAGGGACTATGAGCACCTTAGTAGGAAAGCAAAACAAAACAGGGCACAGTTAGTCTTCTCTTCCATAGTACTAACTGTAGTCAACACCAAATGAGGGAACGGAAGATTTAAGAAGTAAACCACTGGCTCAAGAGATGGCGCCATCAATAGAACTTTGGATTTCTAGACCATGGTTTACATTACCTACAAGAAGGGCTTCTGGCAAGACAGGCACTTCACAAGGGTGAAGGGAAAAACAAAGATGCTTGGAAAACTGAAAAAC